TGTGTGTGTGTGTGTGTGTGTGTGTGTGTGTGTGTGTGTGTGTGTGTGTGAGAGAGAGAGAGAGAGAGAGAGAGAGAGAGAGAGATATCCAACAGCCTTTCCCTTTGCCCAGATACCTAATTAATTCTATTCCTTTCCTACTACTCTCAAAAACTCTAGGGATGACTTCAAGTGTTCTCTCTAATAGCCTCCTCCCAGGTATCAGAGTTTCTTCCCATCCTCTAGATATACCTAAATACACCTGGAATAACTATGATTTATTTTATTTTTCAGATGTACACAGGACTCTACCTACAGAAGTCTGTATTCACCAAGGAGTAATGAAGCTCGCTTCCAGGTCAACTCTTTTAAGTTTCTTAATCAATACAATGAAGTTTATCTGCAGTGCAAGCTAGTAGTGTGCCGGGCAGATGACTCCTCCTCCCGATGCTACCAGGGATGTTTAACTAGAAGAAAGAGGGATGTGGGTGAACCTCAGGAGAAGGTGGAGGTTGTTGTCGGACCAATCAAGCTCCAGGAAGAAGACAAGGAAAAAAGAAAACAGGGTAACTTGGTTTTATAGTGCCATATCTTGCTATTTATTCCTTAAAGAAATGTTATGATGTAATTCCAAAGAATGTAGAAAAAGTTGGGATTTTACACACATACACACAGGAGCAATTATATAAATTGTGTTGTAAATGTTCACAAGTTGAGAGGGAAAAATTATGTTGATGTTTCTCTCTGTGGCAGAATACGTAGACATGCGGACTGTTAGTCCCATGATAAAACAGGCAGAAGCAATTAAAAACAACTAACTTTTAGTAGGAAAGTGACATATAAGATAGAAAAGCCTAAAGCCTAATTCTAACTAGATAGACAAGTGCCTTAGAGACTATGTTTGCTCCTTAGACAGTCAGAAAAAGAGACAAGGAGGGAAAGGAGACTGATAGGCAGACCCTAAGATTATCAGTCTAGGAACAGATGAAGACCAAGAAATAGACATCAGACAGTCTGAAGGTCAGACAGGATCCCAGGCTTCTCTACCCTGAAATACCCCTTATGGTCATTTGGCTTGGATAGGTGCTAAGAGGCAACACTTGAAGGACACCAGGCCAGCGTCATGCTGTATTGAACTGGGGAGTTCTGGATACATGCCAGTTATATGCAGGGACCTTGTCAATTAGCTGCAATTAACCATGGTAATTTACATGATTCCTTTTGTGCACACATAAAATCCCAATAGGATTATGGCCTGTGTTTAATAAGTATTATTTTTCTTAAAACATTGTTTTATTGTTCTGTTTAAGTAACATAAAATATCTAGTGTCTTTAATTGTCAGCTGAGCTGGACTGTGGAAAAAAATACACACAATTACCATATTTTCCCCGTGTATAAAACGCTCCACTTTTCTAACACAAAATTAAGAAATCTAGGTGAGACTTAGCAAGTGGAAGGAGAAAGGGATCAAAGCACAGGATCTGCTTTGATCCCTGCTTTCTCCCTTCGTGCTAAGCCCCGTGGGGTTTAGCAAAAGGAGGGGGAAAGAGATCAAAGCAATCCCACAGCTGTATGATCACTTTGAAACCTTTCCTGCTGCAAATTTTTTTGTTCTTTCCTCAGCTTATGTCTGTGTATAAGATGTCCCTCAATTTTCAGTCGAAATATTTTAGTCAAAAGTATCATCTTATACATGGAAAAAGGTATTATTGGAAGTAAACAGCCTACAATTTTATTGGTTAAAGTTCTCAATAGTCTTGGAGCTAGCATTGAGAATAGATCTCCATCAGCCACCGGCCAACTGTGTGAGGACTGAGGTGGCTGGAACAGGGGATAACCATGTGGGCATTCAGTATGGTGTGGCTCCACTTGCCACCCTGGAATAGAGTGAGCAGTGTTGTATGCTGCACCCATGGAGTGTCCCTCTGCCCCATCTCCTCAAGGGAAGTTACCAGGGAAGGTGAAGCACCAGCCCTACTCTATTCTCTTTGCCAGCATTTGATCTCATACTTCAAAGCTGACCCCCAACAAAGTTGTGAAAAACAACGGAAGTGACACCCTGTCACTACATTTAACATTGCCATATTGTCCATACACCAGCTTACAAAGAAACCATGAAGGAATGAGAAGGAAAAACTCTGAAGCAAAATGGCTGTTCCTGGCCTGGTAAGTCTTTTATAACCCACAAGCAAACCAGAATGAAAACGCCTCCACTCAGGTCTGACTATGGAGACAGCACGAACTCCTGGACAATCTGATTGGTTGAGGAAGAAAGCCCACAAAAACTGTGACATCTGTGAATCATTGCTTTATGGTGCCATAAAGCAGTGGTTCCAAAATTAGGATAACCCAAGTGTACTTGGGCTGCAACTCCCAGAAACTCTGGCCTTTACAGCTGGTGGGGAAGATTTCTGGGAATTGCAGTCAAAGAACACCTGGGTTACCCAAGGTTGGCAAGCAATGCCATGAAGGATGAACATACGGATCTGAAGTGCCCTGAAACTACTGATTTGAATGCCTTCTTTCACAATAATGATAGACCGATATTTAGAGTTTCTAACAAACCATTACAACCTGTGTTTCTCTCATTTACAGACCTGGTTCAGAGTGTACATCCAGGGAAACGTGATCCATTCATCCCACTTACTGTTGCTACTGTGCTGCTAGCTGGCATGGTATTTGTTCTGTCTGGCTTTCTTCTAAGCATTAAACTCAGAAGAAATAATTATCATCAAATCTACTGATACCAGTACAGTGGCAATATAAACAGGCCACAGAATTCCATAAAGCACATATTTTTAAAAATGTACCTATAACATGTGTTTCTGAACGGGGTTGGTTTTTTTAAAGATTACACTTGGGAATCAGTTACGTCAATGGATGTTCATGTTCACTGAGTAAGTTATAGCTGGAGTTGTTGGGCTGCAAATCCCATCATCCCTCACTACTGGCTCGGATGTCTAGGACCACCAGCAGTAGCTATCCATTCTAAAAGCCACCAGGTTTTCCCCCCTTCCCCCACCCCACCAACCTCTTATATCTAGTGATACTTTGGTAGTGGCTGTCACTTCCTTTGTAATGTTTGGTTCCTGTTTTGTCTTTGTTGAGTATGTCACTTGAATAAAGTCTTCTACCCAATGCATATCCATTGACTGTCGTAGTCATTCTATGCCCAAATATTCTACAATGCTACTGTGACATTCACCCTTGTGCCCCTTTGCTTGACCTTCAAGCCTCAGAGTACATGAAGGCACTCTCCTCTTTAACACTGCTGCCACCAGGTGATCCCTAAATCACCATTACCTCAGAAAGATTCAGGTCCACTCTTCAAGTTCTTTTAAATAAAACTTTGGTTTATTTATTACAGAGATTGGTTCTTAAATATCTTCAGTAGCTAATCACACCTCAGAATTTCCCAAACTACACACTATTACTCTCTCTGACTTTTCTCTACTGCCTGACTTACATTTCTTTTACTTACTCAATCTGCCTCCTGATTCTCTGACTCCGCCTCTTATAGCATCTCTCTTGGCTCCGCCTCACAGCAATATGAATATTCATAAACCATTACATAATACAACAAGAACCATAGATCTAATAAATGGAGAACGCTACAGCTACATTCAGCAGAGAGACATAGAAACTGTTTTTAATGAAGGATTCATCAGATGCTTAATAAATATGGTGTCAGAAAGGTCAGTTGTTAGGTTTTATTGAAATCTTTGCAAAGGAACAAAATAGCAGAGCAGTTTTAAATAAGTACTCAACCATATTTCAACCTCCTTTGACTTTCAGAGCTTGACATTTGGAATTCTTCTTTGACTGGATTGTGATTTCTGCCTAAACATAAGAAAGCAGGTAGTTTATAACCTGATCTGCCATCCATTTAAAGTATTTTAAATCATTTCACTAGGATTACAATCAAAATCATATGGCTTCCTTTTAGATGCAGAAGAAAATTGCTCTCCAAATCATCTTTGTAAGTATGCCACTATTATTCCCTTTATATCTTTGAAGATCCTCAGTCATCCATGTGAGGTTATCTGGAAGCTGAGTCATGACAATTGGACTTCTTTCCTATTAGACATTACCAGTATCAGACATCACCAGTATTAGATTAGACACACACGCGCGCGCACACACACACACACACACACACACACCTTGCTTGCTGAATATGAAGAAGTGTATACTGAATTAAAGCAGCTCTTAAAGGAACAGAGAACAAAAAGACCCCAAATAAGTCCAGCTTGCCGCTAAGTTCTGGGACTTTGAGCGACATGAGCTGTTTTTGCTACCCACCCCGGAAGGACAGAGGCATTGTGGGAGCATGCAGTGTGAGGGGGTGGAGAGACTATTTAAGGTGCTGCTCCACCCCACGTTGTCTTCTTCTTTTCGGGCACCCACCCGCCCTCCCTAATTCTAGTGTGAGTTTTCTGGTTGCCTGTTTTGGGGCCGGATATGAATTTTTGACCTTCATCCTGATTGGCCGTGATGGGGGGATTTTTTGCCTATCCCACACTGGAAAAGGGTTTGTTGGCTTTTGGTGAAATTAATTCAGTCACACTGGTGGGTAGTGCAGAAATAACGGAAATTTTGGTGTGTCCCAATTTGTAAAATCAGGTAAGCCAACAGCGCATCTGACCTTCCGGCACTGCGGATCGTGCAATTGCAGTGCCTGTGGGGGGAGGATGCGCTGGGCCACTTCCGGACCAACAGTCATAAGTTAAAGATGTCTTGAGGTCTGGGGGTGTTTATTAGCGGCTAGCCAGGATCCTGCGGTCTCGGGACCACCGGAACTTGGGGGCCGGGGACTTGCACTTTTATTGAACAGGGAGTATGGGAATACCCTGCATTTAGCCGGTTTTCTGCACTACAGCAGGCCATCCTTTATTCCTTTATTGGCCGAAAGGCAATTTTCTGATTTCATCATTTAAATAAAGTGTGGCCCGCATTTAATCCAATTTATTGCCTTGTGTCTTTATTCCAGGGTTGGGGTGGCAAATAGATCCAGGATTTTGTAATGGATGTAAAATGAGAAGCATTGTATTACCATCAATGAAAAAGTGATAAGAAATTGTTATATGCTAATTAGTTTGTAAGACACTTTCGAGTACATTATATTTTCCTTTGATCTGGATCAGATTAAAGAAACCTCTTAATTTTTGACAAATAAGATTCCTCTCTTATGGGACAAGCCCTGTCATTAGGTAAAGTGAGGCAGTTGCCTTCAGTATGACAGCATATCTTCTTCACACCTTTGGAAAACTACAATCAAACGCAACATCATGTATTAGGAGCATGATAGGGTTGTACTAACTGTCAATTACTAGGTGATAAATGTAGGATGGCTATTGTCTAGGTTAGGAACAACAACTGTGGTCCTTTAGATGTATTAAGCTGGTGTAATTTCTTTCACACTATGAAACAGGAACTTAGAGGAATTCATATCTGGGGATCATATAATCCTAAGAGAGATTGAGAAAAACATATTTAAAAAGTAGGGGGTGAAATAGGATTGCTGGAAAGAAAATGTATCAGAAAAGCATTAAAGACATTGAGCAGAAATACTGGCAAAAAGGAAAGAATTGGAGAATATTGAAATGGAGAACATTCATAGATATTTAGTATATTTGAAAAGAGATCATTTTGAGTTTAGAAAGAAAAACTCAATAATGTTAGTCAGAGCTACAAAAGTTTTAAAAGCTAAGAACCTTACTGGAGCAGTTAAAAACAACAACGGTATAGTGTATAATCTGATGAGAGATAAATTAGAGGTCTTCCAAGATTTTCTTCCAAAAATTATGTACTATAAGGAAACTATCTTCAGGAAGATTAAGGAATATATTCAGAAAAATGTGAGGAATAGACTTCAAGAAATGAACAGATATATAATGAAGCAGCGCATAAGAGAAGAGGTTTAGGAAATGGTTAATAAATTAAAA